AAACGTAAAAGCATAATAACCGCAAGTCAGAAAAGTGGTGAATGAATTTCGTTGCTTCAAATAATATTACTCTCTCTTATGAATTTGTTAAGTGTAACAAATCTCAGTCCCATTTTAATTTTCCACTATCTGTGAATCTATTCCTCCAATGCCTGGCCACAGATATAGGAAATAAATTGTCATTTTTTTTCCTTTTTCCTTTATTGTTGATGCTTTTTTGGTTCGGTTTGTTTTAAGTATTAAATATAAATTATTTTTAAACAGAGCTTAGAAAACTTTCATTTCAGTGTGAGAACTGAAACTTGTACAAAACAATTAGATGTTTAAAAGTATTTTATAATACCAGAAGGGTTACTTGATTTTATTATCATACAAGCTTTATCATTCCACTTCATCAGTTGGAGTACATATGTATGGTGCAGGGTGGTAAAAATAGGTAGGATTGTTTTAAAAAACATAGGAATAAAATGCTATTGATAATGGCAATAAATAAGTAGTGCTATGAGTTAATCTGCCAAAAAATAAAAGAATCTTTTGTTCCCTCAGACCTAGCATCTTCTTTACTACATATGATTTATAGGCCTGAGTAGATTTATATAAACACAGTTCTTTATATCACATTTATAATTTGGAGGAAGGGATCCTTGAAGCACATATTTAATTTAGGGTTATGTAAAGCTTTCAGAGAGGTGCTTTGTGAAATGAAATCCCCCTCATAATATTAAGGCTGTCATGTCCTCTAGAAAGCACAGCACAATTGCTTTATAGCTTTTCCAGATGCCTTTACCTATAGGCAATACTTTCCCCTCAAACCATGGGTCATGCCTAAATATGCATTCAGCTGGGATATGACAAAGCTGTTTTTATGGTATATGTGTCTACCAACAAGGATTCTTAATCTTGCATCACATATTTTCAATTCTAACCTGGAGAACAAACATGATCTCAAGGAAAAATAGCCTCTACATTGGCAATTCAGATGGCTTTTTAAATATTACACAGGTCAATCTCTTATCATGGTTAACCTGTCTAGTGTTCATACTGCTTACTTTTCTAGTAAAACTAATACCACAATGCCATTCCATTTGTCTTATTTTAACTATCTTCAAGAAGAAACTGTGATAAAGTGATTTATCTTTCTGTTCAGATCAGAAGTTTTTGCTTTCTTTATTACATTCTGGAAAAAAGTTCTGTGTGTCCACTAAGTGTTGACAGTGACTTAATGGCATGTAATCATCAATTGATATTTAATAAACAGAACATAAATTTAAAAAAGAAAAAAAATTCCGAAGGAAAAAATAAAAATATTGTAATTACAAGACAAATTGCATTCATATTAGATGGATAACAACATTCCTTATACTGTATATAATATACATACATTATACATTAGATGCTTATTTTGAAACAGGAAGTCTTGGAATCTTGGTATCTGATTTTTGAAGGTCTAACAGTTTATAATTGATTTAAATTTGAAAATAAAAGTTTCACTGTGACTAGTTCCACTCAATATTAGTGGTATAATAATAGTGATAAAACATACCGTATTTTCCAGCGTATAAGACGACTTTCTAAACCCTGAAAATCTTCTCAAAAGTCGGGGGTTGTCTTATACGCCCAGTCGTCTTATACGCCGGAAAATACGGATATTCTATTTTATTCCTTTACACATGTGGTTTGGCATATTACTCATCAAGTTTTCTCTCCCCCCCTCTCGCTCAAACTCTATATTTTAACTTGAAAAGTTGGGGGTCGTCTTATACGCCCAGTCGTCTTATACGCCGGAAAATACGGTATTTTTGTACAAGAAAACTCAATCTGCTCTTTCATGTACAGAATTAATACTATTTCTGGTAGGAAATGTTAAGAATTTTGGTATTTTATTTGTATCCATTTATTAGAAATCTTGGTGATACAGAGATTTAAAAAAGGATAAAACAATTCTTTAAAAAGCAAAAGTGAAGAATTGGATACCTTTCTTCCAAAGACCTGATGCATCTGATTAATTGAAAAATAGGTAGAGTAAACAAAAAGAATTTTGAAATAAGTACTCTTATTTTAGAGCTATTAAACAATGGTTACATTTGTGGTTTTGACTTACCAGCTTTCTGTTGATTCATTTTCACACCCAGAAACGTGACAGTCAAGCTTATTGGACTATGAAGAGGGTAGTAAAAGGGTGGCAAAAGAACAAGAATCAGTTATAATTCTGTGCAAATATATTTAGTGGATAGATCAAATCTGGACATATTTCACTTACATGAACTACATTTCAGCAAATAATGGATACTTGAAAAAAAAGATTCAATATATATTATTACCTCAGATTATATATACTGATTAGTTTAATTTGTATATACCCAAAGTGAATAAAACTTTATTACGCTGATGCAATTTTTAACTAAGTTAGACTTTAAAAGTAATCTGTTTGACAATAATAACAACAACAACAACTTTATTGTCACTTTGAATGTACACCAATCGGCATACATCAGAATGAAATTTTGTTGCATACAGCTCTCAAAGGGTCACCACCTCCAATATATACTCTTTGTTCATGGCCAGCTCAAGTTTCAGAATGTCCATTTTAGTCTCTAGGGAGCGAATGATGGCAAATAGGACAGATAGAAATGGAGCTCCATGTGGATTAGCACGACAACCTCGGCTCCTTTCCTTTTTCTGATCCTGTCTCTTCCACCTTTTCCTTAAAGGGTCCTCACTCCTTTTCGCTCCTGGAGCACGCTGCCACCGCCACCAACTTCTCCAAAAGCCTCTCTCTCTTCCTCTGGGCCTGCTGACAGCCTCACCCAGTTCCTTTGCTCCATAAGCCCCGGGACCTCTCCTCCTCTGCCTCCTTTGGAAACAGCCCTGATTTGCAATAGAATCCATCGCTGGGCCAGCAGTCAGATCTTGCTGCCAGCAGAACAATTTCAGACAGCGCAAACGACTTTTAACGATCTCACCAACAGTTCCGAAACAGCCAAAAAATTGCCATACCAGCAAAGATTGTCAGTCATACGTTACCTTAGTCCCACCATGTTGCTTAAACACATTAAAACCTTCCTGATCATGTGGCCTATATCCCTCCAAAAACTTTTCACCTTTGAGAGCCAATACAGCTGCAACCGATCCAGGCGCTGCCATCTTAGAATAAAAACTAAAATAAATAATTAAATACAAATCTAAAATCTTCTACAATTCAGCTTGCTATTACTACAATATATTTATTAAAAACATGCTTTTAAAAAAAATCATGATTAACTTGTTATGATAGCAAATTATTGAGAAAAAAAGTACTGGAAAAGTATTAATTATCATATATCAGGGGTTCTCAACCAGGGGTGCGAGACGATATTCCAGGGGGTGCAAAAACTTGGGCTTTCAAAATTATAGTGTATATGCATAATTTGTTGCTGTTATTTCAAACTTTTGTAAGGGGTGTGAGAATATATCAGAAGAGTTCTAGGAGTGTGGGGCATAGAAAAGGTTGGGAGCCGCTGTCATATATCATGTATTAATAGTATAGCATAATATTTTGGACAAGGAGATCTAGAATTTGAGGAATGGTATTCTGATTCTTTATCTCAAGATAAAATTAGTAAAATAATTATGCAATTCTATATAAAAACTGCATTATTTATGTACTAAAACTATTTATGACTCTAAAATTGAAACTTGATAATAGGACAAAGGATTTGGGTATACTTCAGTACACTACTATAAGAATACATTTGTATAAAAATTTTCCCTGGTATTTATGGGTGAAATAATTATAATAATTTATGAGCTGGCATGTGTAACAAGTATCTCTGTCCAATTTTGCAGTAACACTAAGCAATTGATTCTGTCTCAAGTGTGCAGTAGCAATGTACTCATGCATAGAGCTTAATCAATTCATCCAAGTAGTTAAATATCATGGACGCCACAATTAAATAGCTACCTTAATACTAACAATGTTGATTGAATTACTTCTAAGAAAACAAGAATCATAAATAAATTTGAAATCCTGAATTGATGACTTACCATAGCATACAGATTTTGTCAGGGATCCAAGATAGAATTCAGCAAAAGCTTCCCAGACAGTCTACTCAACAAAACTAGATAGGAATCTTTATTTCATACCAACATGAAGCCAATATAAACAGTTGATTTTCTCTATCATCATTAGCATATAGTCTTTTCTTATCCTAACTACAGCTTAAATCTGGTGCTTCTTTGTCCTGTCCTCCTCATAGTTTACGGATTTTTTTCCTTGGACTTTTCAGTTTTGAAACTGTTGGTTATTTAGATAACTGACATTTCTGCCTTAAGAAACTTAGACCCCATTCCCCATTTAAACTCTCAGTTATTTAGCCTCTATTAAATCTCATTCAGGTTTGATGTATTAAGAACTGGTTCTGTTAAGCTTTTTTCAGTTTGAGAAATATTGATTCATGAAGGTAGATTATGATTATGCAAGAAATAATCACATTTGTCTAAATATGTAGAATAAATTTTATGAGTGGTTTTTGATAAATGATGCAGTGCTATATGCCACTGCATAAATTATGAAATGCCCCAGCATTTGAAGAAACTATTTAAATTGTTAAAATACCAGTAACCACATAGCACAGGGGTGTCAAACTGCCGGCCCGCGGGCTGGTTTCGTCATACTGAAGCCGCGCCCACCCCATTGCCGGCAATGCAAAAAGAGCCGCGATATGTCGCAACACGTCTTGTGACGTGGCGAGTTTGACACCCGTGACTTAGCACATGAGTCAGATTTTAACTATAATTGTTGAATATTGGGGGTTCTTAGAATAGTGGGGGGGGGACATTAATACTCCACATTCTGTATTTAATTGTAATTAATGTAATTAAAATACATAGAACCACATCTTTGCTTAAAAACCTGATTATTTGAAATTGAGGTTTTTCCTACTAAAATCAGACAAATTTGAAGCTGACTCTGCTTTGTTTTCTGTTGTGTTGAATTTATTTTCATTTTGGACAGATTGTATGAAAGTTAAAATTGAATTTCAGTATAGATGGTGCTAGAAATTGAACTTCCTTTAGTTCAGCAAAAGGGATACTTTTAGAGTTTTATTATAAGTAAAATTTAACATTTCCTTAGATTTATAACTAAGGGAAAAATATAGGAGTGAAAAGCAGCAGTTGATAGGTTATATCCATAAAATATTATTTGATCAAAATTGCTCTCAAATTTAGTGATGCACATATTTTATTCACTATATTTTTAGCATCAAAATGAGTTTAACCTATGACTTTTCTTTTTAAGGTTTCTGGATTCAAAACATAAAAACCATTACAAGATATACAATCTGTAAGTATGCTTTTTGTATGTAGCTTCTATATATATACTGGCCTTAAATGTATTAAAATGCCTCAAAGCAGCAGCCCCCAACTTTTGGGTGCCAGGGACCAGTTCCGAGAAGGGCACTTTTTCCATGGACCAGGGGTGCGATTTCGGGCACTGCCTGATCACTTGCACCAGCTTTTCACTTCCGCAGCCTGTTTTTTTAATAGGAAACCTATTTGTAATCCTTTTTTAAATCAAAAAGTATAGTTGAGCAAATCAGGAAAAGAAGCAATGATACGTTACCTAACTTGTTTAGTTTTAGCAAGTGAATGACTTCATAATGAGTAAAAAGAAAATTAAAGCATTAATAAGTTATGATACTTTATTCTGTAAAGTAATTGAGAGTTTGGAGTTTATTAGGAAAAACAGGTATAAAATATTTTTAGTATTGATTTTCTTAGTGTAATTTTTAAAAAAGATTCAATATATTCATATTAAAATCTAGGTTTGATGTTTAATAAGAATAAGGCCATTATTTTACCTGCTTCCCTACTCAGCTCAGTGTTATTTAAGCAGGAGTTGCTTTTATTTGTTTGTAGAAGAGAGTTATTAGGGAAAGAATATATATTTACCAGAGTCTCAAATTTGCCTAGGAACTTTATAACTGAACAGTGATATAAACTCACATTTTATTTGAGTTTTTCATCTTTCCTATAATCATATTTTTTCTATTATTTTCAGATTTATGTGCACTATAATTTTATTACTTTGTGTAGAAATTTATTAGGATTTAGGTGTACGTTGATTATCATATTAATGCCACAAATAAGAGAAAGAATTCTGTATATAGCTGTTATGTTTTCAAATGTACAGGTACTCCTCTTTTTCTGACTGTAATTGGGACTAACAAATCCATCATTAGGTAATGTAGTCATTAAGTGAAACTTCAAGCGACTACATCTTACTTAATGATGTCAGTTCCAGCTGCATTTAATTGTGTGATTAAACAAATCCCCTACAGTCATCAGGTGACCACAACTTAAGACTTCCTGTCAGCTTCCCCAATGACTGCTTGTCAGAAATTGACTGAAGGTTATAAATGGTGATCATGTGACTGGGATGCTATGATCCTTGTAAATGTGCATCAGTTGCCAAGCCCCTGTCACTTGACTGCAGGGACGCTGCAATGGCTGCAAGTTTGAGGACTGATCATAAATCTGTTTTTTCAGTCCTGTTGTAATTTTGAATGGTTTGCTGAAACCTATATTTATCTATAAGGCATGAAAAACATTCAATAAGTAGTGCTTCACTCTTTTCTTTATGGTTGTTGTATTACATTGTAGAAAGAAATTTGTACTATATATAATAAGTTTGTCCCCCTACTAAATGATAAAATAATGCTTCATGCAATTTTAACTTTCTTTCAGATGTGCTGAAAGACATTATGACACTGCCAAATTTAACTGCAGAGGTATGTTTGTTTTGTATTTTTCATAAGTTAAGAAACAAGAGAGCAAGCAGAGCCTTGAATAGTAATTCCATTTCAGATCTGAAGTGTTAGTGTTAATATTAGTAACGTCAGTTTTCCTTTTATTTTCATCCCCTTTATTATTTGGGGGGGGGGCTCTTCACAAACATTTCATGACCTAATGACTTCCAAGCACACCAAATATCTCCTAGAATTTCATGCAAGAGTTCAATCTCAAGAATTTCATTTTTAGTCCCCTGTATTTCTATCCCCAACTCTTAAATACTTCCAAAGCATACAATTTAGAAAGACTAAAAATTAGCCCTGCCCTTTCAACAGCCCTTTAGAAGTTTGGGATGTTGAGTTATGTTCCCCAATTCCTCAGAAATTGCTTATTCTTAAAAGGTAATTACACAGCCTGATAGTTATCCAGCTGCTGCTTAGCTCAGCTATCTCCGAATAGATGTATATTTATATATTTGTCCATATTTTGAACTTATTTAGAGGTTAATGTTATGTGGGATATATATTTTGTGGCTCTTTGTAAGTTTTAGTTAGTAAATTAGGACTAATATTTTCTTCATAGCCAGAATTTGCACTTTATTTTAATTTGATCTCTGAGGGCAACAAGAAGTTCAGCTAAGGAAGTGATGATATCTCCAGAGTGTACCCTATCAGCTTTTTTGTAAGAGAGGAATTGAAACAATTTCTTCGAAACAATAGTAAAATTCAACTCATTGGAGAAAAAACAGGTATTGGAGAGAAAACAGATATCTTAGATCCCTAAGAAGTTTGTTTTTGAAAGAGAAACCCCTACCAACCCCCCCCCCCCAACTCTCTGGCTCAGATTTTATCACTCATAGTTTAAAACAGATAAAATAAGTAAATAACTTCAATATGTAGTCTGGGAATACTCTTAAAGTCACATAGTGGGCATTCAGGAGTTAATGCACGGATTATAAATTGTGTATCCCAGCATACAGTAAGCAAGGAATTTATTTGTTAATGCATCAGCTTTTGTAGCTGTGTGACCATGTTACTTCTCTTTGACATAGTAGGTTTTCCATCTTATGATTAAAAACATCAATATGCTACTTGCTGGGCTGTATAACCTATAGGATTTTATTATTTTGGGATTATTTTATTTTTTAAAAAAGGGGAAACACTATATTTATAGCCTGCAGAAGGTTTTGTGACTCTTGCAATTCATAGCAGAACATCTCCAGACATTTAATCCCTGTGGCATATTGAAAATAAACATTTTAGAGGCCTCTCCTACGATTTGTGCCCACTGACTCAGTAAAATTCATGACAGACTGATGTTACAGAGAGAGCAAGGTATAAAATAATGATGAGGGGATAGTTATTTTGTAAATGATTGCTCTGCTTTGTTCACACACATTGAGATAGCTATTTTCTGAAAGTGGTCACAACATTTCTCAAAATTTTAAAGACCTTAAAAGATAGGGGCCCTTAATTCTGTGCCTTATTGGGAATGGGCTTATATTTAACAGTAAAGGGCAGCAGCAGCAAATAGGCTGCTTGTAAAAACATGTAAAATATGCATACTTTTAAACTGGAAATCACTGTTTAAAGAAAGAAAGAGTTCATATATGAGAACTATAAAGAATATTGTTTTGCATGTTGTGCTTAATGGTTAATTCTACAGAATTTAAGAGTAGCTGCCCTTCTCAAAAATTTACAGCTGAAGGGAGGAAGGTTAGAGCAAGTATGAGACCTGTGTGTGCAGCCTTTTCTGTACCCAGATTGAGCCCTTCACATGTTCAATCATTTGCCTGAATGAGATCTTCATTTTTTCATGATCTGGATATCATGAAGGCTTACAATCTCTGTTTAAGAGTGTCTATCGTACTACAACTTCTCAATAATGATCTCATCAAAAGGATTTTTTTCCTACATTGCCTTAGTCACTGAGAAATGTAACTATAATAACTCCTTCCCAATCATTATCAAGAAAGAATTAAGGGGCTGTTAACACTGCAATGCAGATAAATTGCCAGGGTGAGAAGAATCTATCCTGTAAGAATTGCCAATATGCAAGAATGGATATAGCTTTGTAGAAAGTTCAGCAGTCTTCTTCTGGAACTTCTTAAGGAACTTTTGATACGCAGTGATATGTAGGCTGAAGTTACTCAGCAGGCTATTTTCTTACATTTGGTGGTAAAATATTTTTTGTTGCTGACCAACTTGGTAGCTTTTGGTTTGTCTGAATATATCTCACTGATTTCACACCTTGCAACAAAATTTCGTACTAAGGAAATAAGGTAATTGTCTTATCTCAGTTTCATTACATTTATTTTACCACCCACGAACTTGATTCAATGTGATTCATAAACTATACCTTAATGCTATGTAATTCATTCTTCCCCACTCATTCCCTAGCTGAGAGAGATTCCATTTTCTGTTAAATTCAGTTGCATTTGAATCTTGACCACTGATTAATTTCACATATAGTTGATTGAGACAAAGAATAAAAACTCTTCCATTTGTCTTGCTGGTGCTAAATACAAAAGTTGACAGAGGGAGTTAATAAGCTTAAATATGTGTCATATGATACCCAATCAAATTTTACTTCTATTTCTGTGCATATATAAACCAAAGCCATGGGTTTATATTTGTGTTTGTTGGTTTGGTTTTTTGGGGGGCTTTAAAAAAAAACAAAAAAAAAAACCTAAATGGTCAGATAGATTTAGACTGAATTGTGAACAGTTTTCCGTATCTCTAGATTTTTTCATGGGAGTTTCTTGGAGGAAATGGAGAGCGATAAAGATTTTGAGTTGTGAAGCCCGTGTTATTAAAATAATCTGTACATGGCAATCTCTAATAGAGTTAGACTTAGAAACACTCAGATTTTTTTTATTCAAGGAATTATGCAACAGATTTTTTTGGCAAGCAATATTAGCTTCAATTTAATGATACCATTTTTTATTTTATAGTTGCACAGTACCCTTTTGAAGACCACAACCCACCACAGCTAGAGCTCATCAAACCTTTTTGTGAAGATCTTGATCGATGGCTTAGTGAAGATGGCAATCATGTTGCAGCAATCCACTGTAAAGCTGGAAAGGGACGAACTGGTGTAATGATTTGTGCTTATTTGTTACATCGAGGAAGGTTTCAGAAAGCACAAGAAGCCCTAGATTTTTATGGGGAAGTAAGGACCAGAGATAAAAAGGTAAGAAACTTGCTTTTTCCATATTTATCTTCTTTTCTGTTCTGAGTCTTGATTCTTGGATTTCATGATTTTTTGTCCTTACTGTATTATGGATGGTGAATGTACAATTAAAAATATTGCAATGTTATTTAATTTCTTTTCACTTACATGATCAGAAACATCTGCCTTTAGGAAAAACTGTATTTGTATTTCTTTGCAATGCAAAAGTAAAATTCATTTAAGATTTCAGATATTCTCCATAGTGTACTTTGCTCCACTTTTTTTGATTTGAGATCTGGTTATACTAAGCATTCAGTCATATTTGAGAAATAGATTTCTTTCCTGTTTCCACTGTCCAGTTTCATATGAGAGTATCATTATTTTTTTACTAAATATACAGCAACTAGAGGCAGTTAGCTGAATTTAGCTGATCTAAAAAAGTTAAAAAATCAGATCTGTTAAGACTTGGATGGGAAACTGCCAGAAAATCCCAAGGCCACAAACTAGGCTGGGAAATTTGAAAAAAAAAAAGAAGAAGAATGGAAGAAACATCCTTGTTTTATTGCCAAGAAAAGATTATTATATCAGCATAGTCATTAGAAGGTGAGGTCAGTCTGAGGGACCCTTTACCTTGTTAAGAAAATTACTTATTTCCCTTTGATCCATGTCAGAAATATATTTATTAAAAGAGGAAATACACATAATGAAAGCTTCACATAGGACTATCTTACTGATGCAGCTGTTAAAAGCACAGCTATGTTTCATTTGGGAAGGAAGCAGTATTAATGTGTCTGCTTCCTGCTTATATGTTAATAAAGCATCAGTTGCTTAGTTGATTCATTGTATGTATTTCAGTTAATTGATCTATTTAACCCTGCATAAGTAAAAGAAAATTTTGAAAAAGGCCACCAGTTTTAGGCAAACCATGCAAATATTACAGAACATACATTAGTTCATAATAATGAGGACAAGCATCTGCTTTCCAAATACTTTAGAAAGTGTGTTCCTTCAAAAAAATCTGTTGCTTAGTTTAATTGAACAATTTTTACTAAAGCAAAAGGATTTTAATAGATTAAAAGTTGAAAAATTCAACTTTTAGTTTTGAAACGGAAAGTTTTAATTTTAAAATTAAGTAACCATCATTTCTAAACTCTGCTCTTTCAAAATATGTTCAATTGACATATTTTAGACAACGTTGCAAATTGCATTTTCCTATTTAATAAATTGGGTGGATGAAAGGAAGCATAGCAGAGTTAGATTTTACATACGCCTTCAGAAAGAAGTATATTTTCAGCTGACAAAAGTTGTCCAGTTTGGTGATTTATTAAGTTGTATCTATTGAACAGACCTTCCTGTTTCTATTAAAAATTATTGTAAGAAAAATATGCTTACAGATCAGTATCCTGGTGAAAAGAGTAGTGTTTATTCTTATTAATGATATTTAACTCTTAAATATAAAATGTACATTATAAAATACCAGATAATTAAAAATATATATCAAATAGTTCTTGAGTCAGAGATACTGGCTAAATCTAAGTTAAATGTATTTTGCATTTAATCAAAAAATTTCCTTAAATTCAGGAAGTACATTTTCTTTCTATAGAGCTTTGCAATTAGCTGTAGTAATGTAACTTTCCCAAAGTTAGCACCAAATTGTAATTTTAATGTGAGTGAAGGCATAGGATATGTAATCATTTTAACTGATTAATGAAAATTTATTTGACGATGGTACCGCCTTTTGAAATAAAGTTGCTAGCATGCCATTTGAAGATCAAATATTGCTCTCAGCGTAAATGGTTTGCACATACTGATTAAGATGCTCAGGTTACTAAGGTAGTAAATAATGTAGTTCACTTTGTAAGATGTTTCCTACTTGGATTAAATTGTATCACATTTGAACTCATGGAAAAAAGTGATATTTCTAACAAAGTGATTCCATATTCCAAACATTTTTTCTCATGCTATAAGAGACTAGGATATTCACAAAATCAGATTTTTTTTCACAAATGTTATGTGTCCAAGCAGTAATAAAGTATGCAGTGTATAAAAGCCATACAAATATACAGTATATAAAACATAAAATATATAAAACATATTTAGGAAAACCTGGGCTTTAATAAAATGAAATTTGTGGAATTTATTTTCTCACACCTTATGCAATGTAAGAATTTTATTCTCTAATATGTAAAAGTGAAATGGTGATAGTACTATAATCTCAATAGTTTGTGAGTATGAATTGAAGACCTTTTGAAGTAACCAGAAAATATTTAGTTTTAGTTTTCAAAAACTTTTTAGTTTTTTGACCAATCAAAATTTATTTACTGTCTAAGACCAAACACAAGAAAAAGACTAGTAATGAAGTATAATAGCCATAAAAATGAAGTTTTAAAATAGCGTGAAAATCTTAAAGCAATTAACACTAATAATTAATAACATAAAGGAGGAATTCATAGCTTCTACTAGCTATAGCTATTGATCAGAATTTTACAAACATCATAGAGGTTTTTGAAGAATAGTCACTTAGGAGAAGGCAATGGACTCTTGGTTACAATTGCAATAGGAGCTATAAACAATTGGAAGTGTTAATCTTGATTGTCAGTTGATGTATTATGAACATTTTACTAACGTATGGAACAGATTCCACTCGTCCGAACAGAAGCAAGTTTAGCTTTTGTTTAGGGGTCTTATATAGCAACCAGTTGTTACTCTAAATAGGTAATGCAATTTCCACCAAAGTATATAATGTCCTATATGCAACATGTGAAATGTTAAATAAATCTCTCGAGACAGTATGAAGAAGACTGAATTGGATTTTGGGGCGTTGTTTCTAGACTTGGACTGATAAATAGCATTATTAGTCTAAGAAGAAGGCAATCTATTTTTTTAGTGGGTAATTTCTTCCAGAGTCATTCTCATGAAATGGAATCAAAGGCTACCCTCAACTCTATAAAGGTTACATAAAAGGCACTTTTGGGGTGACTGTAATATTTCTCAGTTAAGTGATGTAATATGGTATACCGGTAGTCCTCAACTTATGACCACAGTTGAGCCCAAAATTTATGTTGTTAAGTGAGAAATTTGTTAAGTGAGGTTTGCCCCATTTTAAGACTTTTCTCATCATAACACTTAAATATGAGCCTTGGTAAGGCCACACTTGGAATACTGCATCCAGTTTTGGTCACCACGATGTAAAAAAGATGTTGAGACTCTAGAAAGAGTACAGAGAAGAGCAACAAAGATGATTAGGGGACTGGAGGCTAAAGCATATAAGGAACGGCTGCTGGAATTGGGTATGTCTAGTTTAACGGAGAGAAGGACGAGGGGGGACATGATAACAGTGTTCCAGTATCTCAGGGTCTGCCACAAAGAAGAGGGAGTGAAGCTATTTTCCAAAGTGCCTGAAGGCAGAACAAGAAGCAACGGGTGGAAACTAACCAAGGAAAGAAGCAACCTAGAACTAAGGAGAAACCTCCTGACAGTTAGAACAATTAACCAGTGTAACAACCTGCCTCCAGAAGCGGTGAATGCTCCAACACTGGAAGTTTTTAAGAAGAGACTGGACAGCCATTTGTCTGAAATGGTATAGGGTTTCCTGCCTGAGCAGGGGGTTGGAGTAAATCAGGGCTTTTCAACCTTTTTACCGATTGTACCACTTTTAGGATATGGCAATATTCGAGTACCACCTAGCAAGGTGTCAAAAACTTGATGACCCAAAAAAAAAACTGTTCAGAGTTGCAATTGCACTGAAATGACTTATGATCATTTTTCACACTTATGACCATTGCAGCATGCCCAGCGTCCTGTGATTTATATTTGGATGCTTGGCAACTGATTCATATTTATAATGGTCACAGTGTTCCAGGGTCATGTGATCCCCTTCTGCAACCTTTTGACAAGCAAAGTCAATGGCAGAGCTGCTGGTGGCCAAGTGCTAAGGTGGGACTTCCTTCCCTCCCTCCCTTCCCTGCCTCCCTTTTTCTCATTCCCATCTCCTGAAGGAAGAATTTGAAAAAAAACCCTATATTTTCCCTCTTCCATATATTGATCAAACAAGGAAAGGCCTCCAGAGACAGAAAAGACAAGCTGCTAAGTGAACTAGCTTAAAAAGGCACATTCCCCTTTAAGAATTAGCTACTGGCTAGAAAGGAAAGTAAGGAGCGCAGCTGGCACTTAAGGAAGAAAAAAAAATGTAAGTACTGGCTGCCAGCTAAGGCAACCTCCCCAAATGGCTCCATTCATAAGTAAAGGAATGCTACAGGCAAAATCCATTCAGGAGAAAAATACTTCAAAATCCCTTGCAGCAAAACTTAAAGCTAACAACAGCAGAGCAATAGAAGCTAACAGGAGACATCAGCCATCAGCCAAATAGAAATTGCCAAACACTCCTTAAGAACACAAAGCCCTCATTGCACAAATCCCAGAACTTCAAAGTCACAAAAGCACATAAGAATCCTTCCACTCTCCATCTCCTTCCCTCCTCATGCCTCACCTCCAGCCATTGCTGCCTTTTTTCATTCCTCTTGGAGGGTGACCCCTCCCCCGCTGCATTTCTTGCCTGTGTGCTGCTGCCAACACAGGTGGCTGCCACAGCAGTTGTAGATCGGCTCATGGCCAGCCTGCTTGATCTCCTCTCCTCTCCCCCTCCCCCTCCCCCTCCTTCCCCTTCGGTGCAGCTGACTCTGCCTCCTCCCAAGGCTGCTGCTTTTTTTCTCTCTCCCTCTCCTGCCCAAACTGCCTCCTTTTATAGGCTCTCCTGTCTCCGCCCCCCTCCTCCTTTTTCATGGGGGAGGATGAGCCAGAAGTGAGCCTGGGGCCTTTGCAGCTCCAGAGGACTCTCTCACTGTAAGTCCTTGCCTGTGCTGGCTCTTTCCCTCCCCCACTACACTTGGCTAGGCAGGGCTGCGTACCACCTGCCACTCATTAATGTACCACAAGTGGCACATGTACCACCGGTTGAAAAGCCCTAGACTAGATGACCTCCAAGGTCCCTTCCAACTTCTATTATTATTATTATTATTATT